AGACAATCAGCTTAAAAATACAAAATTTTCTATCCTGCATACCAACCATTGGTTATAAAACATATTAGGGGAAATGTCTTCTTCACGGTAGCCTCAGAAAATATAAAGCTAGATGTATATAGCATAAGAAGTGTGCAAGACCTGCAGCAAAAAGAGCCACAGTAAGCCAGCATGGTGGTTTACTCTTGTAATCCAAGCACTGGGGAGGCTGAGGCAGGAGAGCAAGAGTTTAAGGCCAATCTGGGCTATATAGCCAGACCTTGCTTCAAAATCAATGAAAAAAAAAAAAAAACCTATAGTAAGCAGAATAAGTAAACACAACCTTTTCCAAGGTATAAACACATGATGTTGTAAAGTTATCAATTCTTCCTAAACTTATTTACATATGTAATGCAATTCTACTCAACATTGTGTCCTATATGCAATTACCATAACCAAGTGTATCTAATAGGACAAATATTTCTAACAGATAAGACGCAGTTAGAAATGAGCAAGGAAAGGAAGTTCCATAATCAGGTAATTATGCAAATAACCTAACAAATCTGTAGTAATTAAAAGAGTATTTTTGGCCTAGAAGTAAGAGAAACAGAAGTCTCAGAAAATACATGACAAAGACAATGGTTCAAGTTCAAGAGAAGAGAATGGATGCTCAACATACAGTTTTTAAATTGGTCAACCATTTAGAAAGACATAGAAATGTATTTCACATTATGTATCATAAAAAGACACTAAAAGCCATAAATATTGATGTAGTGGTGGGGTGTGGTCCTTAATAATGAAACTCGAATGCAAAATAGTAGGTTTTATGTCAAAGGTCACAGGTCAAGTCCCAGCTTTTGCTGTGCACTAACACAAGAGCTTTGGGCTAGTGACTGGGCCTTGCCAAACCTCTGCTTGTTTGTCTACAAAATGGGTCTATGAAAACCCACCTTGCAAAGTCATAAGGATATACAAAGACATACATAAAGTGCTGACATATGGAAGGCAAAATTATTATTGACTCTTATCTCACACAGCTTGTCTGGAAAGAATGTAAACTAAAAGAACTCAGAAACCATTTTCCTTCTAAGTGGCTGTAAATTATAAAGAAAAAAAGTCACAGAGAAAATGTTGGGATGTGTCATGAATTATTTGATCCATGCTGAAAAAAATGGACATTTCTTCCACTCTAAGATACTGTATGTACTCGTGATCTGACCGAGGAGATAGTGCCTTGGTGCACTGGTTTTATTCCAGGCATCTTTGGGGTATAATAAGCCTCTCTGAGTTGATGCGGGGGCTGGGGGTGGCCCTCTGGCTTACTTTTAGAGAGATGCATGAAGGTGCAGAGAAATGGTGTCTACTTCTTCAATGACAGAATGGTTTGAAGGCAGGGAAGTTAAGCCCTGGAGGTGCCCTTCCGATGTTGACTCAAGGGTGTTTAGGCTCAGGGTCCCCAGCAGAGGCCTCCGGGTTAACGTCAGAATTTCCAGAAGCACTAAGAATCTCAGAGTAGAAGGAGAAAAGAAGGTGTGGACCTGAGCACCTCACACATTTGGAGACATCATGGCATCCGCACAGCCCACATGTCCACATGGAGTGCACACCCTGTGGTCCCTTGCAGGCCTGTTCAGTCCCGAGAGGGAGGCTGGCTGAGCCCCAGAACCTAAGAGAAAGTCTCTTCTCCCGAGTCTGGGTGGCTATATGCCAACCCTACCCAAGACTGAGGAAAAGAACCAAGCTGCTCACTTTCCTAAAATTTAAAAGAAAACTCAAATGCATTAGCTAGTGTTTCTCAGATCATTCAGTTTGTGGTTTTCAATTCAGACACGTAATCCCTTCATCCTGTAACTTGCCTGGGTTTTTAACTCACCTGTCTTTTGGAAAACATGTTTGCCAAATCTTCTAGCAGTTTGAGAGCATTTGCTTTCAATTACAGTTCAATTGCAACTTTAAAAATGATCACAAAGATTACCCATAATCCACTTCCCTACCACAACTATTTTCATTATTTGCCCATTGCCTTTATCTGCTTATAGAGTTTCATGTTGTCATCTTAGTTACACACTATCATTATTTTGGGGGAGGACTGGAGTTTGAACTCAAGGCTTCACCCTTGCAAAGCAGGTGCTCTGCTGCTTGAGCCCCGCCTCCAGTCCATTTTGCTCTTGTTATTTTGGAGATGGGGGGGGTGGTCTCTCAAACTATCTGCCCAGGCTGGCCTTGAACCTCGATCCTCCCAATCTCAGCCTCCCAAGCAGCTAGGATCACAAGCCTAAGCCACTTCCACGCTCGCTTTCATTTTCCATTTGTTTGTGATTCTACCTGGCTTCTAAAACCGGTTTGTGTAATTAAGGAACCAGCTAAAACAGTGTACTCTCATTTTTGCAAATCTTATATAAATGCATGCGTATCTACAAAGAGAAATATTTGCAGTGTGTGTTAAATTGCATGATGAAATTTGGGATATTTTTACTTTTGTTTTTGTGCTTTTTTTTTTATTGTTGCTGTTGTTTACTATTACCCTATCATTTTTTCCAAAATGCAAAAAGCCTTTTTGTTTGTTTGTTTTGGTGGTACTGGGGTTTGAACTCAGGGCCTGCACCTTAAGCCACTCCATCAGCCCTTTTTTTGTGCTGGGTTTTTTCAAGATAGGGTCTCAAGAACTATTTTCCCAGGGCTCGCTTCAAACCATGGTCCTCCTGATCACTGCCTCCTGAGTAGCTAGGATTACAGGTGTGAGCCACTGGTGCCCAGCTGCAAAAAGCCATTTTGAAAAGCCTAATTAAAATCTGACTATTGCATACCTAAATCTTTGTATCCACTGAGACTGGGTAAACCTATGACCACCCTATCCATTTTCCTATCTCCCAGGAAGGGAGGACCTGGCTGCAGAATTAGGAAAGCATATATGTTTCCTGGGCTTTGATGTAAACATTTGAAAGCTCATGGAAGGCTCTGAAGACCAAACCAAAAGGTTCTAGACATTTCTCATACTGATCATGTAGATCTTATAGAATTAACACAGGAGTTAGACACTCCTCAAATCAAACAAATTTTAATGACATCTCTTCTAAAGTCTGACTTGTTCTTACATCTCTCTGGAATTCATGGTGAAGGGAGGCTACTGTACTTTGCCCTCTGAAGAAGCAGCTGTTTTTTCTTGTTTAGATTCAGAAATTTAGAAGAACACTCTCTGTGACTGTAAATGTACAACACACAAAATAATAAGTTTTTTTTCTCAGATGCTGTGATTATGGGATTAGGAGTAAGAATGCTGATGAGATTATACAAGTCAGTTCTTCAACTCCATTTCCCTTCTCAAGCGTCCAGAACATGTCTCTGATCAATGGAAAATGTATGGACCTGGGAAGAGCCATAAATATAGGTTGGCAAGGTCCAACAATGGGACTTCCTTTTTCCCAATTTCATTTGAAATGGTACCTCATGATCTTTCTCTCATTCTTACTTCCTCCATGTTTTACAGCTTTTGCAAGGTTAAAATGCGATGTTACATATACACTGTCATTTGATCTTCCTGACAACCCTTTGTGGTATCATCATCCCTTTTCTTGGAGATGACTAAGGGAGCCTCAGAGTTGGTCCAAGTCACGCAGCTGGTGAGAGGGCTTGGACTGGCTCCTGTGTTTCCCGTCTCCACAATCACTCTCTCTGACTACACAGAACCCTCACGGTTGGGGTCTTGGTATTCTGTTAAGTATTCTATTAAGAAGCAAAGACAATTCCTTGCCATTGCCAAGGTTCACCCTGAGGAATGCCCATTGACTTCCAAATTCATGCCATCACCCTTGTCCATTCCTCCTAGCAAGGAGAAAGTCAGTAGGCCTCCCTCTGAGCACATAGTGCATGGGTTAAGGGTCCTTCTTGGGATTTCTACCTTCTCCACTAGAGGCAACCATCTTAAGAAAAGCAAGCTTTGGTCCTGAGGTTCTTGATCTAAAACATAAGTTGATTAAGAATTCCCTTGACCAGTCCCTCCTATGCATTTCTTTTGTGAAGAATAAACTCTTAGGATTTTGCTGTTGGCCTATCACTGCTTAATCCAGTATTCTCAAGAGCAGGAAAAAGAAAGTAACCAGGGTTAATGCTGCTGAAATTGGAACTGTTTCAAAGGCTAATCACAATTATGATAGCTAAACTGTCAACAGTTAAATTTAAAAATCACTACATCTGAATCTAGTGATGAAAGAATTAGCGGTAGTTAGAAACTGAAGGCATAGCCTAAATTTTTGTATGTACTTGTTAGAGAATTTGGACAAATTATTATATTTCTCCATGTTTTAGTTTCCCCACTAGCTATGATAAACATGTTTTGTATCATTACAGGGCTTTGAAGAAGTATAATTATTAATATAATAATAATAATTGTTGCTATTGTAAGCATTTTGTATTTATTTATTTATTGTGTGGTACTGGAGTTTGAACTCAGGGCCTTCACCTTGAGCCTCTCCACCAGCCCTTTTTTGTGAAGATTTTTCGAGATAGGGTCTCGTGAAACTATTTGCTCTGGCTGGCTTTGAACCACGATCCTCCTGATTCTGCCTCCTGAGTAGCTAGGATTATAGGCATGAGCCACCAGCGCCTGGCAGCATTTTGTTTTTAAATATGAAGGTAATGCTTTTGAGAGTCACATATAAATTACAAAACAAAATGCAAAATGCCTTAAAGTATGCAATGATTAAAAATTACTGTTACGTTATTGTTACTTTTATCCAGCCTTTTCCCTCCTTCAATTCAAAACTCTGAATTTCCTCCTTTAAATGCTTGCAGAGCTCAATATCCCCCTTGTTTCCCACCATCCACAACAGTTCATGGGTCATGCTGACTTTAAGAACGTCGGATCTTTCCATCCTGACCCCCACTAAAAGCGTTTCTGATGTGTCTTTTGAGATGAGTGCTAAGGAATCTCCAAAATATAACCAATAGGCTGTGTTTCACATGGGTTTCATCATGTTTAACTACAGAATTTTTTTTTTTCATCTGTCACAGGGACAAGCAGAATGGAGATCCCTACAGACAAAACTGAGGCCTTGGCTGAGACCTTTGGGACCACAACCTATGACTACGAGTGGGCACAGCCCTGCGAAAAAGTCAACATCAAGGAGCTGGGATCTAGGGTCCTACCTGCCTTGTACTCCCTGGTGTTCACTGTTGGCCTTTTGGGCAACGTGGTAGTCGTGGTGATCCTCGCAAAATATAGAAGGCTCAGAATTATGGCTAACATCTATCTGCTCAACTTGGCGATTTCTGACTTGCTCTTCCTCTTCACTATTCCATTCTGGATTCACTATGTTGGGCATAACGAGTGGATTTTTGGCCATTTCATGTGTAAGTTCCTCTCTGGGTTTTATTACCTGGGTTTATACAGTGAGATCTTTTTTATCACCCTGCTGACCATTGACAGGTACCTGGCCATTGTCCACGCTGTGTTTGCCCTTCGAGCCCGGACTGTGACTTTTGGTGTCATCACCAGCATCACCACCTGGGTCCTGGCAGGGCTGGCAGCGCTCCCTGAATTTTTCTCCCATGAGTTGCAAGGGGACTTTGGAGAGTCTGTCTGCAGCCCTCTTTACCCTGAAGACGACATGGATAAATGGAAACATTTTCACGCTCTGAGAATGAATATCTTGGGTCTTGCTCTCCCTCTGGTCGTTATGGCTGTCTGCTACTCAGGAATCATCAAAACGCTGCTGAGATGCCCCAATAAAAAAAAGAACAAGGCTATCCGACTCATTTTTGTCATCATGGTGGTATTTTTCATCTTCTGGACTCCTTACAACCTGGTTATCCTTCTCTCTGCTTTTCAAAGAGTCTTCTTGGACAACAACTGTGAGCAGAACAAACAGCTGGACGTAGCCATGCAGGTGACAGAGGTCATCGCCTACACCCACTGCTGCGTCAACCCCGTCATCTATGCCTTTGTTGGTGAGCGGTTCCGGAAATACCTGCGCCACTTTTTCCAGAGGCATGTGGCCATCCATGTGGGCAAACACATCCCATTCCTTCCTGGTGAGAAACTGGAAAGAAGCAGTTCTCTCTCCCCATCCACAGGGGAGGTGGAATTCTCTGCTGTGTTTTAGGTCAGGCGCAGATAACTGCCTAAGGAAGATGGATGGGCTCGATGAAGCAGACACAGTGACCTCTAGGCCAGTCCTTTGAACTTCTGGTGCGACACTGAAGCTCTTGAAAACCTGAAAACACATATAAAATGGCAATATATGCGTGCACTCCACGGTCATTGCCAGAGGCCAAGGGCTGAGCAGTTTACACATCATTGACCATGAAAACCACAGCTTTGCTTGATTCTTAGAGTTACATGAGTTTTAAGGCACCTAGAGGCTAAATAGTTATCAATGTGCAGCCACAAACAGGTGGCTATTTTAAATCTTAACGTCTTCAGCTGTTTGACATAAACGAAACATTTCATAAAATGCATTAAACCAATCATTTTACTTCCCAATATGCTGAGCTCTATCTTGCTTCACAAAGGCTATCTTTTTCATTTTCTTTTTTTCCTATGGGTAAATACTCTTGCAAGATACTAGCATGACATACCTGCTCTAAATAGTCTTAACAATTGACTTCGTGATCACAACAAATGATCAGATCTTCCTCGAGTGACTCACAGAGCCCTGGAAGGTGCACACTGTTCTCCTAAATGCCAAGATCACATTGCTGGAGGCCATAGGCCTCCTGTACATGAAAAGAAGTCCAAGTGAGGAGAGAGGGGAGGTGATGGATTCAAAGGGACCCTGCAGCTCTAACTCAGTGGTTCTCAAATTTGCCACCACCTGCACCTGGAGGGCATATTAAAACACCCCCAGCAGGTCTGGAGTTAGACTCCAGCATTTGTGGCAATATAAACTCCAAGATAATGCACGTGCTGCTTGACTGGGACCATACTTTTAGAACACGTGCTGGAACTAAAGTGCTGATAGAGAGCCCAGCCTCATCATTGGAGTGAGGAGTTCACAGCCATTGGAGGAAGATGCAGATGGACCAATTTCTGCTAAGGATACTCTCCATCTGGGGCAGCCTCTAAATGATGTCAGTCCATTGGAAAACAATTGGTTTAGTAGGAATTTTGAGCTCATCAGTTTCATTCAATTGAGTTTTTCTAAAGCCCCTGTATTTAGTACCCTGCATTAGGAGTTGTCAGAGATACAAAGGTGAATGAGACTTGTGTGAGCTACAACCTAAGGAGAGAAAAAAAGTATCTTGTGATGTAGAAGTATTTCAATAAAAGCAGGAATGATACAGGTACTCGTTCCCTTTTCTTTTCCCCGTGTATGGCTTCTTGGGGAAGTAAGTTCTAAGCTTCTTCTCAACTGGTGCCTCTCACTACAGACCATGTAGGGGAGTGTAATATGAACCTACCTGCTGTTCATACAAGAGCTGCCTGTTAGCTGATAGAGACAAGTAGACACTCAATGCGATGCCTGGACCAGAAAGAGAAAATCATTTCTAGTTGAAAGCTGAGGGAAGAAAGACTTGATGGAAGTGGGCTCTGAGCAGGTCTCTGAAGAATAAGCAGGATTTGGAAAAGGAAAAGATTTGGGGAAAGCCACTTTAAGTCAAGGAAATGCCCAACTCAAACAAGAAAGGAGAGAGTGTGTACATGTGTGGGGCCCTTGGATTTTTAGACAAAGGATCTTGGGCTTTGGTAGGAAGGCAGGGGGAGCTATAGAAGGGTTTAGTGCAGGGTAGTAAAACAATCAACATTGCATTGGAAGATGAATCTAGTAACACATAGAGCATGGACTGGAAGCTCAGAACCACACAAGGAGGTAATTTAGGAGGTGAGCGCAGGGTAGAGGTAAGGAGAGACCTGGTAAGACCCCTCTGGTAAGAGAGGTACCAGGAATAGTCAGAGAATTTGATCAAGAGAAAGCATAGGAAGTGTTCAGGGCTAGGAGCAATGTATGGTTGACTGTAAAAATCAAAAGGCAGCCAGGTGCCAGTGGCTCACACCTATGATCCTAGCTACTTGAGAGGCTGAGATGAAGAGGATTACAGTTAGAGGCCAGCTCAGACAAATAGTTTGAAAGACCCCCATCTCCAAAATAAATAGAGCAAAATGGACTGGAGGTATAGCTCAAGTTGTACAGTACCTGCTTTGCAAACAAAAAGCCCTAAGTTCAAACCCCAGTCTCACTGAAAAAAAAAATCAAAGGGCAGCTGGGCCTCCTGTGGCTCAAGCCTCTAATCCTAGCTGATGGGGAGGCTGAAACAAGGGAATTGCAGTTCCAGGCCAGTTCAGGCAAAAGAGTTTGTCAGATCCCATCTCAGTGGAAGAAGATCTGGGTGTGGTGGCCTGCTTGTCATCACAGCAATGGTGGGAACATCACAGCCCATGCTGGCCTGGGCAAAAAAAGACCCTATCTTCAAAATAAGCAGAGCAAAAGGGACTGGAAGTGTGGCTCAGCACCTGCCTTGCAAGCGGGAAGCTCTGAGTTCAAACTCCAGTACCAATGGGGGAAAAAAATCCAAGAGCAGAACATTGTGTCACATATGTAATACTTCACATTACTTCAATGCTTTTCATTACTACAATGAAATACCTAAGAGAATTAACTTATAAAGAGAAAAGATTTATTTAGTTCATGGTTCTGGAGATTCCAGTCCAAGATCCAGCATCTCCATAACTTTGGGACTTGTGTAAGAGCAATGGCCAGATGACATATTAGAGAAAGTTGTTCAACTCAGATGCCATGGGCTTGGAAGCCAAGCACAGAGCATGGACCCGTATCCCACAATCCCCTTTGGGAGCACACTGCCAATGACCAAAGGACCTCCCACTAGGTCAAACCTCCTAAAAGTCCACAACACCCACCAAAGTGCCCCCCTGATGACCCAATCCATCAACACGTAGACCTGTGCGGGTAGGACACTACCCATATTTAAGTCATATCAATATGCTTCTTAAGACACACATACATTTTTCTTTGTGCTTAGATGCATAGACCATAACAAAGGATACAAAAGACCCAGTGCAAGCTGATCTTTAGGAATAACACGGGTGCCTGGAGAACAGGAAATGGGAGGGGTGGCCTGTGGTGCCTTTTGGATTTTGAACCATGGAAACATGTTAGTTGTGAAAAAAAAAATAAAACTTTAGAATTATGCTTAAAAATAAAAGACTAGGCTACTATTTATCCCAGCATCCTTAAGGACATTAGAAGCTTCCTGTCATGAATTACTCCTTTGATAAATTACTAGACAGATTATTATTTGACAGAATTATTTGGCACCTCTTTGGGCCCCAATTTCCTGATCTAATAAAAAAAAAGTCAGATTAGACATTTCCAAGCCATCTTTATTACAGATAGTCTCTTATTTTGCTAAAACATTAGACACTAGAGACTCAGTCTATAAAATAGATTGAAAAAGAAAGGGAAAGAGTAGTGAGTGGTGGATAATCTCAAGGCATCACCTCCTGCTGGCATGGGACCAGGTGCATCTCCAAGGTGTACTCAGGTGTCTCTGCTTACTAATTCATCTTTCACATACAGTTCGTTCACTCCATACACATTTGCAGAGCATCTACCATGTTCTCAGCTAAGTCCCAGAGAAATGAAATCGGTCATCCCAGGAACTCTGCCTCAGGGCAGTTCATGGTCAGGTTCAACCGGAATCTGTTCTTGTCCTCCACTGCCTGAATTCAAGTCCTGTCCTATAACAGATTTGCAGATTTGCCAGTGCTTATTTCAACCAAAATGAGAGACACTCCTGTGTCACTTCCCAATCAAATGCTTGGAAAAGTTGGTGTGTGTGTTCTCAGGCATCCATTCCATCCATCCTCAACGCCTCGGTTTATGACTTTGACTTTTCTTACCATCGTGCCTACCTGAAAGCTGTCCATGGGTATCACAAATGTGAGCTTTGGAACACTCTAAAACATACAACATGAATCTCATTTTGGCTTGGAAAATTTGAAGTGTTTTTTCTCTTCTCTGTGGTTCAGCCAATGTGTAAATAAAACATCCTTTCAAAACTTAAGTATATGTTGCTTGTTCTCTGTTGCTTTGGGAAGTGGTATCTGCTCTTAGGTAACCATATGTGCTGGGTACAGATACTGGAATCGAACTCAGAGCCTCACACTTGCCAAGCAGGTGCTCTACCACTTGAGCCATGGCTCCAGTCCTTTTGCTTTTTTAATTTCCTTTGCAGATAGGGTCTCGTGCTTTTGCCCATGTTGGCCTCAGATCATGATCCTCCTAGCTCTGCTTCCTGAATAGTTAGTTGGGATTACAGATGTATACTACCATACCAGGCTTGTTTTTTGTGTGTGTATTTTATTTTTTTTTAAGTGGAACTGGGGTCTGACCTCAGGGCTTCACACTTTCAAAACAGGCACTCTACTGTTTGAGCCACACCTCCACACCTCTGTTGACTTTTGCTCAAGCTTTCTTCCAACCACAATCCTCCTGTCTCCACCTCCCAAGTAGTTGGGATTACAGATGAGCACTATTATACCTGGCTACAGGTGCTTTTTTATACTTCTTTTATCTGTGGAAGCTTTGAGACCCACACAAAACCGCACATAACCAAATCATTAATTCAGTGTACTCTCTAACCTCACTCTGTCCAGTAGAATATCTGCAGTGATAGAAATGTTCTGTGTCTGCATGGTCCAATATGGTGACCACCAGCCATAGGCACCGATTAAGCACTTGAAATGAGGACTGTGTGCCCAAGGAACTGAATTGTAAGCTTTTACTCAATTTAAATGGTTTAGATTTAAATTTAGATAGCCACACCTGGCCAGTGGCTTTCTCCACGTGGCTAGTGGCATGACAAACTTGTCTCTTTGAACCTTTTTCTACCTTTGCGTGAAGCTTCGTGCAGTCAGCAAACGCATAATTTCAGCCCTGTGTGACAGAGGAAGGAAAATGCTAGGCAAAACTGAAGAAGATCCATTTCTAGGAATTTCCCTCACTGTTCAGTGGAAAAGACCTGTGACTCATAGGACTGCCATAATATGGGTGGGTGCCCAGAGGACCATGCTGCAGAAAGTGGGGTGGAGACGTTGGAGAAAGGCACACGGAGAAAATGACATTCTGCTTTGATAGTGTTCCCT